GTATTGGCAAAAGACAGTCACATAGATCAATGGAACAGAATACATAACCCACCCAGAAATAGAACCACACAAATATAGTCAACTGGTCTTCGATAAAAGAGCAAAGGCAATATAATAGAGAAAAGATAGCCTTTTCAACAAATAATGATGAAAAAATTGGACATCCATATACACACACACAAAAAAGAATCTAGACACAGATCTTATACCCTTCACAAAAATTAACTCAAAATGGATCACAGACTTAAATTTAAAATGGAAAACTATAAAATTCCTGGAAGATAACACAGGAAAAAATCTGGATGACCTTGGATTTGAGAATGATTTTTTAGTTACAACACAAAAGGCACAACACATGGGGAAAAATGATAAACTAGGAATGAAAAGATTCTCCCCTGTAAAAGACACTGCCAAGAGAATAAAAAAGCCAGTCTGGAAGAAAATATTTGCCCAAAAAAAAAAAAAAAAATCTGTTAAAGGACTATTATCTAAATATGCAAGGAATTTTTAAAAATTCAAAAATAAGAAAACAAAAACTTGAGACTTAAAAATAGGCAAAAGCTCTGAACGAATGCCTAACCTAAGAAGATATACAGGAGGCAAATAAGTATATGAAAAGATGTTCAATATCATTGCCATTAAGGAACTAGAAATTAAAACACAATGAGTGGTTGGGTGTGGTGGCTCATACCTGTAATCCCAACACTTTGGGAGGCCAGGATGGGAGGACTGCTTGAGCCCAGTAATCTGAGGCCAGCTGGGGCAACACAGTGAGACCCTCATCTCAATTTAAAAACAATAACAACAACAACAGCCAACAATGAGATACCACTACACACCTATTAAAATGGTCAAAACTCAAAACACAGACAACACTAAATGCTGGCATGGATGTGGAGCAACAGGAATTCTCATTTATACTGGTGGAAATGCAAAATGGTAGAGCAACTTTGAAAGACAGTTTGGCAGTTTCTTACAAAACTACACATGTTCTTACCATATAATCCAGCAATTGTGCTTCATAGTATTTACCTCAAAAAGTGAAATTCAAAAACATACATCATTTACAAGTATTATTCTAAAAAAGGAAATACTTATGTATAAATTTAACAAAACACGCACAGGATCTGTATGCTGAAACCTGCAAAACACTGATAAAAAGAAGTAAAAGGAGACCTGATTGAAGAGATACAAAGTGTCCATTGATTGGAAGACTCAATGTAATAAAATGTGAATTCTTTCCGAATTGATCTATAGATTTAAAACATTTCCAACAAAATTCCAGCAGGATTTTTTGGTATGCACAAACAAACTGATTCTCAAATTTATGTGGAAAAATAAAGGGATGAAAACAGTGAAAATAAAATTTGAAAAAGAAGAATTAAGTTAGAAGAATCACACTATGTGATTTTAAGACTTTCTATAAAAATACAGTTGTCAAGTTGATGTGGTATCAGTGAAAGGCTTGACATATAGATTGATAGAACAGAGTAGAGTCAAGAAATCAACCCACAAAGATATGGACAATTGATTTTTGACAAAGATACAATTCAGTGGACAAAACAAATTAATTTTTTCCAACTACTGGAACCATTGGACATTTATATATAAGACAATGAACTTGAACTAAGCCTCATATTTAAAAAAATTAACTCAAAATGGACCATACGTCTAAATGTAAAACCTAAAACCATAATAATTCTAGAATAAAATACAGGAGAATATCTTCATGACCAGGATTAGGCTAAGAGTCCTTAGAGATGATACCAAGAGCACAACCCATAAAAGAAAGATTGATATGTTGGACGTCATCAAAATTAAAACCTTTTTCTCTGTGAAAGACACTATAAAGGGAATTAAAAAACAAACCACGGACTTGGAGAAAATATTTGTAAATCACATATCACACAAAGGGCTTGTATCCAAAATATGTAAAGACCCCACAAAACTCAACAGTAAGAAATCAAACAACCAATTAAACAAATGGGTAAAAGACTTGAACAGACACTTCACCAAAGAGGATATACAAATGACAGGTATGCACATAAAGAAACGTTCAAGATCATTAGGCATTGGGGAAATGCAAATTAAAATCATAATGAGACACCACAACTACTTATGAGAATGGCTAAAATAAAAAAAATAGGCCAAGCACAGTGGTTCACACCTGTAATCCCAGCACTTTGGGAGGCTGAGGCAGG